CTAGAGCTAGTGAGACCTTAATCTGCAGTTCCCAGTGCTCACACTAAATTTTACAGCCATACTGACTTAATCCCCTCTCACGTTGTATGTAGAGTTTCATAAAACTGATAAAGAGGAAAAAAAAGGCAAGGAAAATGAGTGAGACAAAAGAAAATACGTATGCTAATGTCTTGCTTCATCCTCAACATTCAGATTTTGCCTTTAACTCTAAACTGTGAAATGAATAGCAGGCTGTTCCACTCCCCTTGCAACCTCAGAACTCTAAGAGGAGAAACTGACAACCTCTATATGAAAAGAGTGAAATGCCATTTCCAGGAAACTAACAGAAGATATCCCTTGAATTTGAATGATTGCAAGTTTTTCTACACACTAGTGCAGCATTATTCCCATGGAGGCTACTTCCAACATTTCTGCTGTAATTTTACATTGTATGAACTGCTCCAGATTTCCCATACCAATGTGGCAACTTCAGGGAGTGTTTCCTCTGACAGCTCACTATATCAACTCTTTTAAGTTCCTCACTAATATGGTTCCATAAACTCCTGAAAAGTATAAATTAATCTGTTTTCAACAACTCACAGTCAATCAGAATTTGACAGAAATGGGAAATCACAGCTAAAAAAAATGTAAATCCTGCCTTTGTTTCCTGAACTTTAAACTGCAGATTAGTTTGACAGATGTCTGAGCTTCATTAATATTGCTATTGTCTGTCTCTGAATAATAACTCTTATGATCATTATGCAGTTTTGAGACATGCATATTTTAATACTATGCTCATTACTATAAAAATGTGAACCACATTAACTAGATTTTTTTCACATGGTCATGAAAAATGCACTTGAAAGGGAGACTTGTAATGTTTTCAATTTCATGAAAAACTGTGGAAAGTACTGGAAAACACTCGAAATCTGTTAGTAAGAAATTGCCATCTCTGGAAATGCTTTCACCTTATTCTAGAGACTCTCTGTGTAGCAAAGCTGGTTCAAGTTCACAAGTGCCCATCGACACTGGCACTATATCAGGATAGCTGAACAGAAGGAATTACTGGAGGGACATGATTGCAGACACTTCAACTCCATATTCTAGTAGTATTTGACTCCTACAATGGTTTTGCAAAATCACAAACTCCTAGGCAAAATCTCAAGCACCCCTGAAACTTCTCTTATATGCTCTGAAAGCTTTGCTGGTCCATGGCTCTTTTTCTTGGAAGGACCAACACTTTGCTCCTACAGTTCATTCAAATTCAGCCTGATTCAGATTCAGAGTTCTGGCCTGCAGAGAGTCCCTTTTCAGAACCAGCTGAACAATCATCCTGTCTTTGCAGTGTTTGCACATCCCAAAAGACAGCATTTCAGCTTGAAGATCTGTTGCTTATTTGTGTCTTGAATCCAATGAATCCATAGCCTGGGAAGAAGGCAAAACTGCTGACTTCTTCAAGTGGGCATTTTAGGATGAAAAATGAACTGCTCAACCTCAGCCGGGTTCACTGCCTAAATCTAACCTTCAAGAATATTACAGCAGCTCTCCATGCAACATACCTTCATTCCAGATGAGGATGGCTTTCCCCTCTCCAAATCTAGCCCTTTGTTTAGAATGGTAACTGTCTCCCTCATCTGGACATGCAAACCCACATCACCAACCCTCCTACATCTTCACGCACATAATCTATGTCCCACCCATGCCACACAGACAGAGTCTGAAGTGTCTAGTAGCTCTGAAGTCTTCTTCATTCTGCATTCTTTTAGTAGAAACAAGGGTTTCTACTTTCTAATCTCATCACGCACAGAATAAAAATAAGTAATTACATAAAATAATAAATAAATAAAAAGAATGAGGTAAAGGAGACCTGGCAGGAAGAGGCATCAGAGAATGAATGTATCCAAAGTTATCTGTGATCTTTTCAGAGACTCCATTTATGTGTGGGAATATGGACAGTTCAATTACTCTACTTCAAGTCCCCAGAAGAAGAGCTCAGGAGAACAAATGATAAATGACTGATTTAAGGCATTCAAGGTTATCTGTAGGGGAGGAGAGATTCCAAGCCTCTGTTTTCTTGGTTCTGACTTTTCCTCTACTTTTGGTTAAGGTGACAAGAATCATTTTACAAACTGTACAAGCAAGAAAAAAATGAAATCCTCTCAGGCTCAATTAAATATGTTTATCTAATTTTTCATTCCTATCAAATGTCATGGGAATTTCCTAATATGAGATTACTACTCCTACCACCCAAGCTAACCATGAGCATTACTAAGGTTCCCTTATTCAGATTTGCCAAAATTCTCACTCTGATTAAGTTTTCTCCATTTTTGTCCTGAAGAGAGTTCTATTAATACCTCCTCCTTTCTCTTTTTGGCAGACTGTTCTAAAACACTAAATCCTTATTTCCTCAGCAGGGGTATAATATCTACTCTTATTAAAAATACTGAAACACAAGCTTACCCAGAGGTGTGTTTTATTTGACGTGAAGAGATTCAGTAAAAATGCTTCCCTGGGAGAGCTAGTGTTTCAGCCATCCTGCAAGGATTTGGCAAATGTTTCAGATGTTCTGCTGGACTCTCTGAGATATTATTAACCCCTTTCAAAAATTGTAATTTCCACCACTTCCAAGCTCGTGTGGATGGAAATTTCCAAGTCTATTGTCTGGAGCTATGACACAGGCAGGAGAAAGACTGAAACTCTTGGTTAATCACGAGGGAACGCAATGTATAAAGATGATAAAATCTGACAAAGTCCATCTTAGAAACAAAAACTGACTACATTTTACAAACAGGCAGTGAATTTGGCCTCCTAAAAAAGTGACCACCAAAGTGCTTCCATAATCAGTCTGTAATGCTATATTGTCTCACTGTTAAGAGGCAGGAGAGAGCTGGAAATCCTTCCGTGAAAGGTCAAGGGGAAAGAAAGAGACAAATAGTCAGTATGGTGGAAACAGAGTCCTCAGAGGTCTCATGCTTAGCAAGTACAAGTTCATACGTATGGAGGGACAGAGAAACGAGCAGATCTCCCACACTTCGTTTGACAGAAGAGCTCTTTGCACCATAGAACAGATATCCCAATGGACAGATGTTAGTGATGGGCTAGAGAAAGCCAAGAGTTATCCACTGAGAGCCCTTAGCCATATTTGAAGAGTTTGGACTCTAGCCATCTCTCAGTGAAGTCAATGCAGTCTTTCAATTGACTCAAATGGAAATTGGAACGAATCTCTAGGCTCAATCTTTTTCAGTTACTTTTTGTTTACATCATTTAAGATCTCTGTGACAGTTGTCTCTCACATGTATTTCATTAGGCATTTAGCTTTCTACTGAGAAATTTCCCAAGCTACGTTTCTTTTCATTTTTTTCTTTGGAAATCCCAATGAAAAAAATATTCTCATTTCCATCTCCAGTTGATTTTTCATTCATCCATCTCTTCCTGTCAGAATTCTGGCTGATTGGCTGTATTTGGATTGTTTAATCATACTGATACCTAATAAAATGGATGTGTCATCAAATAAATTCTTCTAACTCAGCCTTAAAGCCCAAAAACGTTCTAGATTCTCGACTGGAGTAAATCAAATTTTGCTGACATCAGCAAAGCCTGGCTGACAGCACTGGAGAATGTAATCTTCTAATAGCATACAGTTCTGATCAAAGTAGAAAGTGTCTTATTACAATTACCTACATTTTGCACAGAATGATCACCCTTTTGGCAAGGAGAAGACACATCAGAATGTGTGTTCAAACTCTTCCCCACAGGCATAAAAAACCCCACTGCTTTTCACTTTTCATCTCAGCTTCCAGACTAGAAAACAGTCCTGTCATATATCAGTAGGACAAATGGTACCACATATGCTAATACAACATACATGTTTTTTCCTTCTTACCTGTTTACACACAGTTTCCTTAAATTATTTTATTATTGTATATACAAACATACCATGAAAACAATAGTTCCTCTAAAAGTATTGCAGTTACAGCTCAATACAATGTCATATGATAAATCATTTAGGATTACACCTCATGTGATCTCCATGATATGGTACTGAACAATAACTCAATAACCAATGCATAGGCTGGTTTCAGCTTGTGGATTTACAGCCAATTATACCAGCACATACAGAACCAACCAACTGCAAAGACACAAATTCACTCCAATGACACCAATTAGGATTTAACATTTTAAACTTCTGTTGTTTAAAAAACAAGAATTGCTTCTCTAAACTACATGATAAACATACTAAAAAGTCAAACCAGAGCCAGTTTTATCTATGGTACAAGAGATATCAGTTCTTTCAGTTCATAGAACTGTACCTCCACTCTGTGGTGAAAATCAGTCTTCTCATTAAATGTGCGTTTTGCCATGTCCAAACAAGGAAAAAGAATGGAATTTAACCTCTGGATTAATCTTAGCTTTCCCAGATTCTTCTCAGAAATCTTCCCTTCACTGCAAATTACTGGAAGTTGAAGAGATGTAGCCATACAGATAAATTGAATAGAAGTAACATAAGAATGCCTTCTTACTTCCGGGGCAATAATCCACCTTGATAAACTAATGCTTCATTTTAGTTGATATAACAGATTCAGGTAAAGGTGATATTTTCTGCAAACATTTTCTGTTACAACTTTTTCTTCCTTCATTAAGTGTTGAAGTACTCTGAACCTCTGCATCAACACTTTATTAATAGACCCAAACTCTGATCATCTCAGCTCTTTTCCAGACGATTGAGCTTGGATATTTTTTGTTCTACAACCAACTCGAGCTGATTGCTGATCATTTTCTTGGGACAGTTACCTCTTCAGTTGTGTTAATAAAGACTGTCCCTATAGCTGAAGATAACCATATAGTTTGCCATACAGCAGGAACATCCAACCCAGCCTCCAGGCCGCAAGTGGCCTGGCCCAGCTCATTCTGCAGCCGCCCCTTGCCGTCATGGCAACAGCTCTGCCCCAGTGAGCTGCCCTGCCTGATCCCAGGCACACACCCATCACTCACAACAACAAAACATTCATGTGTAATTGGTACATACTGGACTGAAACGGGACAGGGCAGAGTGCAGTGCAGTGCTGACTCAAGTTATGGCAGATAAGTTTATGGATTTTGATAGATTGGCTAAACAGTCCTGTGAACAGCAAAAAATAATGTCTGTGCTTTCTGTTCTCAGTCAACATAAATACATTACTTGCAAATTTTCAGATAAAATGTACAGTTGCAGTACAAAATTTGACCATGTCTCTTTACCCAACCTCTATAAGCCTTCTCTTACCAGAGAGAAATATTCCTCATTTCACAATCACACCTTACTCATGTCACTGCTTTCTGGCAATACATACATCTGTGAAAAATTCTTTTCAAGGATGAAGTGCAGAGAGAGTAAAATTTCAGCAAAACTCTGTAAGAAACACATTGAGAGCTCACTGAGAATTGCAGCCATTGCCACTGAACCAGACTGAGGCATCAGTTTCACAAAAACAAAGTCACATACCCCACTAGTTTTGTGGTTTTGTTGCTTAATTTTTTATGTTTTAATTTTTAAAAAAATTAAAGTTATGTTTTGTCACCTACATATGTTAAGTATGTGATACATTTTATGAGGGCTGCTTCAAAAGTAATGCCTCCTATTTAATGATGTTGGCCCATGATGTCAGACATGGACGTTGGTGGCATGGCAGTAGAGGTTGAACCTTCCCACAAATATCTCATTACATTTTCTTGCTGCATGACAGTTGACAGAAGAGGGACAGACTGACGGAATGGCATCTGACATGGAAGTGTGTATGAAGTAAAGGGATGCGTGTCGTTGAACTCCTCCATGCCAAAAAAAAAAAAAAAAAAAAAGGCACTTACTGACATTCATCAGCACTTGCCAAACATCTATGGAGACCAAACAGTGGATGTGAGCACAGTGAGGCAGTGGGCAGTCCATTTCAGCAGTGGCAAAACCAACAATGGATCCACCTCCACTGGTGAAGATTGTTACGAGTGTAGCATGCAGACTCTAGTTCATTGGTGGTGAAAATACATAGCTAATGGTGGCGACTGTGTTGAAAGAGTGTTTTGTAGCTGAGAATTTGCTCTATTAGTGTTATTGTGCAATTTCTGTCGGTTGTAGTTTCAACAGAAATAATTAGGAGACATTACTTTCAGAGCAACCTTCGTAGATGGGCCCTAGAAAATTTTTCACTCAGTGTGGCTCAGGCAAGCCAAAAGGTTGGACACCCATGCTGTAGAGTTTGTGCCACAAAAGGAACAAGTGAAAGGCACAGGGACCTTAGAAAGCAAAGACAGGATAAGAGCATTATGTCATGATCATTCTGTTTTTTTGACTGGCAAGGAACAATGCACACTACCATGCTGAAATCTGTTTTAAATCCATTTAGGTTGTTTAGAGAGTGAGGCCAAGAGGCCATGCCTGCCGCTTCAGGAGATGGAAGAAATGACAAGAACTCCAAAGATACAGACTCTCCAAGCATGCTGGATTGACAGGTTCATTTTCTGCATTTAAAACACTGTAAAAACATTGCAGCAAGCCTGGGATTTATTCTTACACAGAAAAATAATTATGAATAGCATACTATTCGCACAAGTCTTAAAAGATATAACTGGGACTCTATCAAATTCGTTAGCTTATCTTTACAGAAATGTTCAATAACTAAATCTTAAAATAGAGATCAGAACAAAATGAAAAATCTGAACACCATCAGAAATGCTGATGTGAGTTGGTCAAGTACTTTTCTAGATGCACGGCAACTTCATTACCTTGTTTTGACTGGAGAAAAATAGTGGGTAAACTTTTAAAAACATACTCTAGTTCTATTTTGGAGAAGAAAAAAAAAAAAACAGGAAAAAAAGAAAAAAAAAGCAATAAAATAAAAATGAAACAGGTTTCACCCCACAACTTCACTCATGCTTTACTTCGGTTAGCATATTTTGCAAATCTCCATTCTGCATCATGGGAGTGTGAAACGGTGCACTGAGCCTTTTGCAGCTTAGATGGCTGCAGAAGAAAAGTTATGAGAAAGTGTGGAAGAAGAGTCACCGAGGCTGCAGGGAGGCTGAGGAAGACAGTTGGATGAGAAAGCACATGATGAATTTTGGTATTATGGTATAACACTGCTCAAGCTGATCCCACAAGGAGCTCTAACTCACAAGTTAGCATGTTTTCTTGCCAACTCACTTTCTTATGCTCCTTAATAATCAACAAATTAAAATTGTGCTTTCCTTCTCAAACTTGGGTTGAGCAAAAGGACACATAAAAAGGAGTATTAGCGACTAGAAATATCTTGTAAAGTGAATTTACAAAGTTGTTACACCAAACAGACTTGCAAATGAATGAAAGTGGTGATTACTCCAGGGCTGCATTAAATAACAGGCCAAGTAAAGAGCAGCAGGCTGAGGTAATGGGATGTCTTAACTGGTGGAGAGGATTAACAGTCCAAGGACACATGAAGCCACAGTCTCCATCTGTGATCATTTTGCTACTCACATCTTCAAGGTTTGACCACCCTTGAGCTATCTTAGGACTGCATTTGTGTTAATATGCAGCCTTCTGGGAACATCCTTAGACTTTTAAAGCCAGAACATGTGATTATGCAGCATGATGAAAGACAGTTAACTTAGGACTTATTTCCTTAGCAAGAGTATGATTCTCTTCAATAAGTAGACAAACTGTAAATCAAGAATTCTTATAAAATATTCTGGTATCAAAAATTTCACAAACTAATTAATTACATGCAATTTAAACATGCAGACTCTGAGAGCCAATGGGAACTGTCTGAAGTCAAAGGAGATACTAGCTGAAGACAATTTCCTCTCTCAAATCCATACTCTGCTCACTCGACCATTAAATCAAAGCTTGGGCTTTTCAGAGCTAGATTAGTTTTGTGTTTAACACCCTTGGCAAATGGGAAAATTATATTCAAACATAAAACAGCAAATGGCCTTCTAGAGAGAACTGCAAGTAGAAGCTGGTTTTAGTTGGATTATTAGTACTTGTGCAGTGTTATACACATTTTATGTGAGAGCATATTCAAAACAGAGTATTTCCACATGTACGTGTCTGAGAAAACAAGCTGCGGTTGGCTATATCTGACAAAAATACATTAATAAATGAATAAAGATTTTTCCCTTTAGCAGTAATTCAGCCTCCCCACTGTGAAGATAGAAGGTGCTCCAAACCTCAGTTCTATCATTTCCACTCTTGCCAGACATAACATTCCATGGAGAACACTGCAATTGTGTTATACCAAAGGAAGCAATCTCCCGCTAGACTAAAAGAACAAGAACAAAAATCCCACTGCATAATTGTTTAGCCATAACAGAAATGGTAAACTTTTGGCTTCAGGTTCACAAGATCACAGAACCCAGCACATAACTGCCTATCACTGGGAAAGTTTTTAATGTTTTTAAGTTTACGTGTAGATTTGCCACAGTAAAACCAAGTGTCTGTGGTATGGCTGCAGTGGCAGCTAGAAAGGCAAGGGCAGCAGAACCTGGTGGCAGCCACATGGTCACTGCTCACTGCTCACTACGGCCCACAAGAGCCAGCTGTGTAAGAGCACACCACCCCAAGGGCCCACAGAGCAGCTGATCTTCTGTCACCAGAAGGAGAACAAGTTCATTGAGCCAATAGACAATTACAGCCACCAAAATATTTCCCTTTTTGCAGGGTAAGTATTCCTTTCTGATTAAGCTTTAAACACCAACTGGAAAACCCTGCCCCAGTGAAGTCAACAAGAGCTCTACATAAGCCTGGAAGATGAAGATACAGGGCTCAGTCCTACAATGTTTCCCCAGGCAATTTGGAAAAGTCCTAGATTAGTCGTTGGCTTAGGAAAGGAAAAGAAAAAGAAAGAAAGAAGAGGCTGGGACTTAAGGCAAGTATACCACATCTATTTCCAAGCATTGGTTGCGATAACATTAGCTAATATTCCTCTGCCCACTCAACCATTTTGAAGTTGGTTCTGCAAGGTACTAAACAAATGGGCCCCAGGCCAGAAGGACACTTAAACATGTGTTTGACTTTAAGGATGCAAGTAAATCCTCCTGAATGCTTAATGCTACACTTTCCTGAACTAGAGCCAACCTGCCCCCATGCTTTGCCAGCTCTTAAGGCCGACATCAAACAAGTCTCTCCTGGTAACATTATATAAAATCCTTCATACAAATATGCAAATAGTTCCAGCAACTACATATATTATCTCATTCTTCTGCATATACATGTATGGGTTAGCTCAGGATATTCTGTTTCAAGCTCCTTCTATTTTATGCTTACGCTTTATGACTTTGACCCAAGCACTTCACTGCTCAGAGAAGATAGGGATTAAAAATGAACAGCATTCAGAATTCATTACCCCTAGTAATAGTATTAACCCTGTAGCAATAGTATATTGGCTTCAACATCACTCACATTGTGTTCTCTGGCTGGCATTTTCTCCGATATGTTTTGGTTTTCAGCTTTCAATCAATTCTCTCATCCAACTGGAATAGCTTCTCTTGTCCAACTGGAATACATGCCAAAATGACTTATAAAACACTGTTCAGGTTCCATATAATAAAGCAAACCACAGGAATGGTCTATTAGCATTAAAATACAGAACCATTGAAACACATTGAAGATAAACATGCCATCAATGTGAGTCAAGCAAGCATACCACTCCAGTATCACTTTTTAATAGTCCAAGTTTGTACATTATATATAAACCTTTGACTGTGATCACTATGAAACATGCCATATTATATTATTTATTTAGTACAGTTCCCTTTTCTCTATTCACTTCTATTTTATCCCTACGGATGCACAGTACATTCCAGCTAGACAAAGCAATTCAAACTTGTGTCCCCAGGCTAAAAGAAGGACCAATAGCTCTCTGTCTACTTCAATTTACCAAAACAGAAGAGAGTATGCCATTAATCCAAGTTGGTCCCACTGTGATTTCAACAATTAACCAGCCATTCCTGTATTTTACAGGAGTTCAGTCTTTAACGAAAGCAACTTTTCTAAACACATTTATTTCTTTGAGATCAAAGCCAAAATTCCATCTTTTTATAGGTTTCAAAGGGTTTCCAAAAGGAACCGACAAAGATCCAATTGCTGAAATTCTCCAGTGCCTTTTAAAAATTACATTGCCATGTTCCTGTACTCTCGATTGCCAATCAGGTATTCAAGTGCTCAACAGCTGATGAACACACTCACTACCTCTGTGTACTCAAATTGTTGATGGGCCTATTTATAATAGCCTCTGGGATCTATCTCAACAGTACTTCTATCCACAGTATCAACATCTGTCTGCCCTAACGCTCACTTTTTGACTGTACCTCATACACTGAGGATTTATCAGCTGAGTTAGGTGAAGAAACTGTGAAAATGTCAGTGCACCAGCATGGAAGGTAAGAGTAAGAATCATGTCAGCTCACAGTTTTATAAAACTTTGATTTTCAGAAACCTCCAGAGAAATTAGCTGGGAAACAGCTTCTGCAGATCATACAAATAATGAGCAAAATCTACTGACATCACTAGAATAGATGGAACAGTTGTTACTGGAGTTTTGAACCCTACCCGTGATGAAAGGGGAAACCATGTATGAAAGGGACTTATGTTTTGGAGAATGTTTTTTTAATTATTATTATTATTATTTGGCTATCACCAGAGGCATTCCCAGCTTTTTTGTATTTTCTTTCATTCCTTGGAGCAGGACATTTATATGCTGCTGGCAGCCTGAGAAGAATTTCCCCTAGTTACATCAGATTTAGCATAGCTAACAGGATATATCACTTTTCCGCATAAGGAACAGCTGCAGTTGCTGCAGGAAGGTTGCAAATACATGGTATTTGGCCACACATTTTGCAATATCTTGCATTTTCCATACATTGAAAGACTGGTGAAGAAAACAACTTATAAAAGACAGCCTTAAACAGAAGAAAAAGTGATGCTGGTGACTTGAAGCCTCTGCGAGGCTTACCTGAATTCATCTTTGTCTCCTTAAATCAACTCAGGCTCCTTTGCTAGCACACAGTTTAGCCTGTGTTTCATCTGCTGCTAAGGCTGTGCTGCCAAGGCTTTTTAGAGTTCTGGTATATAAAGGGCATCTTTTAAGAGGCTACTTGTTCCCCTTGAAGAAATTATCTGCTTGCCACAAATCTTTTTAAGCCAGAGACATTATACTGCACAGCTTTGCCAAGCAGGACACATGAAAGGGGATTTCCTTTCTCCTTTCCACAGCGGATACCCTTTCAGATGAAATGGGGCCATTCCAGAAAGGAGTCACAACACATCTTCCCCTTCTTCTAAAATGTATTAATAATTCAATTTAAATTTGTACAGATAAAAATCCTGAGCAGCTAAATGTTGGAATCCTTTTCTGCACACATACTTAGCCTAAGTTACAACAGTTCACAGGATTTGCTCCACACTTTATTTGCCTTTGAGGAGCCTGATGTGAGTCAGACAACCCAAGGTTTTGCCTTCTTTTGTTGGAAAATGCTTATGGACAGACAACCTTGCCTACTCTTGGCACATACAGCTAGGCACTAAACATTATGTAGGGTATAAGATTATTTTTTTTTCCAACACAGAGATGTTTCAAGACTCATTGGGATGAGCAATTGCTGTCAACCATAATCCCACAATTCCAGCATACACAACTTTCCATGTAGCTTTTAACTGAAACCATACACCGTTTGCTATTTTCAGCAACACCATGAGTACACTGGGTTGTTTGCCATTTAATCTACTTTCCAGACAGCCTTCCACAGGAGCATTAGAGCTGGAAGAAGACCTTTCTGCAGTTCTTTATTCCACACCTTTGAAGAGCAGCGTGTTTACCCATATTAATCCCAACCCAAACCTTATAGATTGGAGTATCTCCAATGACAGTGATGTCACCATCTTACTTGGCAGGCTGTCTCCTGGTCCACTGTTGTGGGGTCTGCTTTTTGAAAGTAATGCAATCATAGCAACACGCATGTACAAATATACATTTTTACCCTGCTGCAACCCAGGCACTACTTTTGCTGCAAATTTACCAAAGTTTAAGAATAATGCAAGTAATTTCATAAATTCCAGTTCCTGGAAAACAGGACTTTCAAAAAAATCTGTGAGCTGCTTAGCTTTAATTTTAATGGTGGAAATCACTTGTTTATATGAAGACATATGAATATAATACTGAACTGCATGTATCTATGAAAGACAAGCACTTCCAATATTAATGATGTTTTGAAAAGGCACTGGGTAGTTCAGACATGTCTAGCTGACATCCAGGTGGATCAGTCCTAGAAGCTAATCCAACAGAGAAAGAAAACATTGTTTGAAAAGCACAGCTGAACTGTGTCTACACCTGGCAAAACAGGAGCAAGCCAGGTGTGGCTCAGTTGATGCACCTCTACACACTTTTTTGGGGATCTATGATTTCAGAAAGCAAATCTAGCCTATCCAGAATAAGAATCCTTCAGAAGAATTTAAAGCACCTGCAGAGGACAATTTTAAATGCTGGCAGTCAAGCTGCTCCATCTCTTTTCTTTCCCCAAACTGGTAAAACTCTGAGCTTATGCAGAGAAACAAGCAGTAGCTGACTGTGTCACAGAGAGGGAAGCAGCGTGTGCAACAACTAACTTTCAGCACTCCATTCAGTGCTTAGCAGTGCTCATTGCCATCTACCCCTAAATAAGACAAGTTCCTCCAAGAGACTGATCCAGCACAGGAATCATCCACACAATTCAGCTCTCCCTTTCTAGGAACTCCTTTGTCTCTCATACTTTAAGAGCCCATAGGGACTAGCTCATTCACTTCATGTTTGAAGATAGAAAATGTTTGTTTTTCTCATAACAATCCCAAGATGCAGTCAATTGAAGGATTTTGAAGTTAGAATTATATTGAATCAATCTTTATACTTTTTATAACATATACGTATTGCAGACATGTATTTCTTGCTCCTGGCTCTTATCAATAGGCACATATTTCCAGTTGTCTTTGCCTCAAATCTGCTGGTTTTAATTTTGAAAGTTTTTACTATTTCTACTGCATTCTCCCCCAGTTTGTCAGCCTTGCTTTTGTAATATTTGTGGTTGCAAATGACTGGCATTATAATAATCCTTGGTTGCTGTTTCTTTTCAAAAAAAAAAAAAAAAAAGTAAAGTAGTTCAGAGATCTGAATAAGTGAATGCACTGACACATAGCTGCTTGCACAATGCTCTGCTTAGGAAAGCCAAAGTCGTCATGAGCACATCACCAAAATTATGTGGACCAACTGTTAGAAGATCAACTCTGTGTATGTCACAGGCTTTTGGGCAGCCTTCCAGTCTGAGAGTTTGAGAGGATCCATTTCAAAACAAACAACAAAGAGAAGATGTGGCTGTGAATTAAAGGCTTTGAAATAAAACCCATACAGCAACTACTGGGTCATAGGATTTGTGAGCTATGTTACCTCCAAGCATTTGCCAGCAGTGGTACATACATATATGCTTGTACCTTGTGTACTGGGAGCCTGAAGCCACAGCACAAACCTTGAAGTTAGACAAATACAACAGCTTCAGGCAAGGTGAATCCAAACATGGGATAAACAAATCTTAAAATTACAAAGAGATCCTACAGTTACATTCCAGGTACAGCTATAAAGCTTCAAAACCTTCACACTCTTGTTTGAAAAACATGATTTAGAAGGAAGGTATGTTTTATGGCAGCTTTGGTGTCTCCAGTATTCAGAAGGGAAATATTCAAATGGAAATACTATGGAACACATCTTCAGTATGTATCAACATATAAATCTGCATTATCTGTGTCTCAAGTCAGCTGTCTATCTCTGTTCCCAAATCTGATAGATGAACAACACAGAATAAAAGCAGAGGCTCATCAGTGCTTTTTCTCTTCCCTGCAGGGTACCACACAGCCTAGGTGTGCCTCTCCCCGAACCAGGGAGCATTAGCAAAGGTGACAGCAATAACAAGCAAATTAGTCAGCTAGATAACCAAGGTAAACGGAGAATTTGTAGGGATGATAGAGGCAGTTGCTGCTCTGGCTTCACCTTAGACCTGCCTGAAATCTAGCTTTGAGCACAGACCTTTGCAGCATGAGGTAACACAGAGTCATTGCCACAAGTAGGCCCTGACAGAACAAATAGCCTTGAAGAGTTCTCACGAAGCAGATCATTTGCTCCCTTTCTTCACCTCCACAAGCCATCTTAGTAGATTTGGTAATACGTATATTTAAGCAGTCCCACAACCACACATGCCAGGGAAACAAAAGCAAGTCTGTAAATGGTAATGGGTCCCTTTGGATCCAGAACTTGATGCAGAATGTCTCCTAGAACGAAGTCTGTGCAAAAACCTGTTACCACACCAGATTTGTACTAGGAACTGAGAACCAACTCTTTAGATGCAGTGATCTATCACTGCACAGAGCTGACTTTGTTGACATAGTCCATGATTGGAGACCTTCAGGGAGCAAACAACAGCCTATTTGGAAGAGGTCCCATGCCAACAGGATTGAAGAAGTGCCAGTAGATGTATGAGTTTCCTCCAAAGTACTCTCAGTTCCTTCTAGGCTAAGAGTGATTGAAATGATTAAGTGTGTTGTGCAAAGATCTGATCTAAGACAGAAATGATATTCAGCTACATCTAGATTCAAACTAATGTTTATGATGACTGTAAGCACTTTTGGGGGATATCTGTGCCTGTACTGAGTTTAACACAGAGATGTAGTCTTTGAATTGAGGTAATATTTACTACTTGTAGAGACTCATCAGATGGAGGTAGATGCCTTCATGTGCATAGACTGAGTAAATCCATGCTGTGCAATGCAGTGCTATACTTAGGCACACCAATCTGCATAGGCCTATAATGCTGCATTCCAGGAACAGAAATCTCTGTAGCATGCTCCTCAGCACGGCTGATCCACAATCAACTTGTGCAGAGAGAGAATCAACTCTGGCACAGAGAACTTGGCAGTGCAATCCCCAGTTCTGGTAACAGTACACAAAACACCAGTTGATTCCTGCAGTGTAACACACAAAGCCTCAAGGATTTCTGTCACCATGCAGGTAGTTCATATTAAACAAGATTTTTAGAGGTATGATGGGACTCCATCCTCCCGCACAGTATAAGTGTGGTATATACCAAAATATTAGGAGTGATCAATATCAGGAGCACCAATACCTTGTCTTATTAAGGGTTTTTCCTACTCATAATCAGCAAGTAAAAGTAAGATTCACTAGCCTCAAATATCACTTAGGTATATGCAAATGGCTAAGCCATGCATGTGGTTACATTAATTGGGACCCCATTTCAGACACCTCTGGGGACTCATTAACATTTAACTTGTGTCAGAGCACAAATAGTAGCAGTGTTCCCTTTGTGGCATCAAATCAGGCCCATTAATTAGTCCCTATTAATACACGATCCCTGGGTGCCATTAGCACATTTCTATTGGTGGCTTATTCACAGCAAAGTTTCACTCACTCTAATTGCTCAAATTGTCTAACAGTTGCTTTTGGACAGAAACAGTAGTGCAAACACAAGAAAATAAAATAAAACATACACCAGCTTTAGCACAGAACTTGGAGTGTGATCCAAAGGTCATTGAAGTTAGTGAAACAATTGTCTTCTATGAGCTTTGGATCAAGCTTCTTGAGAACAAATTTTTGCTAAAGTTTCAACCTTTTTGAGAGCTCACTCTGCTATTTCATGTCCACTCTAATTTAACATAAATAGAAAGCAATTCTCCGGCCCTTTCTTGCATGAAACAACTTGGATCCATTAATTGGAATGGTTCTCACGAGCAAGTGCTCTTTCATACACAGGCTACATACCAAAGTTAGCAGCATCTAAACAACAGTCCAAGAGTAGAGAAGAAGTAAATTCAACACTGGTGCCAGTATTTCATATTCCGTTATCATCTACATCTCTCTTCCTTCTTTCTCTTCTAAAACTGCCTCCCTGTATTTGATTTCTTGCAGGTTTCCACATGAATGCAGGGAAAAATCATGACCCTGATTTTTCAATACATTTTAAAAGTGTTACCCTTCTAAGGTTCAATACTGCAAGATTTGCCTACTAAGATGTCACAACGGCAACACATTCCAACATAAAGAGGAGAAGGAGGAATTCTGATATGTTCCTCTGGCTCAGCAGTGCAGCAGACTCAAAAAAAAATTGTCTCTACAAGTAGAGAAGCTGTATCACTTTCCACAACTTTTGCTATCTGCAAAGTAGCTGTTCATTTCATAAGGATTGAATCTGGTCTGCAAATTGTGAAATACTGCAGTAGCTTAATTTACAAAAGAAACATAGAATGGCAAAGATACGGCTAAGACCAGTCCAGCTTGAAAAGAGTCAAATGCAATAAGCATGACTGCACGAGTACAAACACTGAAGAATTATTCCTCCCCACCCACCCCTCCAAAAACATAATGATTCATATAAAGGCTGGGCCTTTTAATCAGGTCTTAATATCAGCAAAATTACATCACTCGCTAGCATGCTAATGAATTCATCTCCCAAGGTTTTATGCTAAGTGCTCTATCATGACCCTGAATATTTCCCACATGGTATGCTGCAGATTTTAAAAGATCTCTTTGTAAAAATATGACATATACTTTACATTTGAAAGACAGTGGGAGCACTTTTTTTTACTGAAATAACAGCACAAATCCAACTGCAGCCAAGAAGCTAGTGAAATGCCAAGATGTTATTCAAAATTGTTATTAAAATTCAGGGTGGTCCCTCTTAACCAAATTTCTGGCATTATAGCTTCATTTTAGTGTGATCATGGTACTCAGCAGATCAATGCAAACACAGAAACAGCCATAAAAAGTCACGCTGCTGCTTTAGGATCCCATCTCCAATGAAGATGGGTACCACCTGCTTTCAGAAAACAGCATAGGATTTCTAATTACTCTTTTATTCAAAGTGTGTTTAGCAAAAAAAGAGTTTAGAAGTGTACTGGTCAGCGACTCCTGAGAAGAGCACAAAAGAGCACAACAAAGCAGAACAACTAAAGTCACTATGGTTGAGGCTGGAAGCAGGACATTTCCATCTGGAATAGACATCTCAGAAGCACAGGCAGCACCCAATTTTATCACCAGAAGGATGGGCGTATCCATCACCCATGTCCATGTCATACAGCACTGCTTTAGTTATTTGCATCTCTCCCTTAGCTTCAGGCCTGGCTCTCCAGGAGCCTGAGATCAACTCACGAGGCCATGCAGTATCTTCTGTTCTTGCCTCTCCCTTGCCTATGCGTAAATCTGAGCTGGGCTTTGCCACAGGCTGAAAGCCTCTCTCTTTCAGAGCTGAAATTTGGCACTCATTCATGAATTTTAGTGTAAAACTGACATACTCATAGAAGATTAGATATATATTTCACCAAAGTCAAATCTAGCCTGATGTTGCTTGGATAAAACTTTTTAAGATAAAGATTGTTAATATTTTTTCCTCGTTCACCCACCTCACATCTTACCTTCTCCTTCAAGTAGTTACGATCAGCCTGTAAAATATTAGCCTGGCTTGTTTACCCAGGGTTGCTTCCAAGTTTCACATTAAGCAAGAGCAATGTTGCTGAGGACTTGAGCCAAACCTAGTGAAATCCATAAAAGAAAGCTGCATCAGTTTTAACGGGCTTTGCAACAGGTCTCAGATATTTCAAGAGTAAAAGTTCTCCATTCCTACAATCACAGCATTGGCAGAAGCAGGAAAACACAGTGGCCAAATGGCAGGACAATGTAGGGATGTAACCCAGGGTACAGCTGGTAAATCTCAGCAGGAATTCTTAGCTCCAGTAGTTAAAGCTGAGCTACTGCTCCAGTGCAGAGCTTGTCAGCAAAGGAATTATCACCATCATGACACTAGACCTATTATCTCAGCAAGATTTTAAAGAAAGACTAACGTACATGGGATGGGCTCAGTCACTAGGCACAGAGCCTTTGCTATTTCCCTCAAGACTGTTGAGGAACAAAAGTGTGTCATATTCACATTTCTTTACTGGAGTGGAAAAAAAAGGCCTTTTTATGTCTGTGAGGAACTGAGTCTTTGACGATCTCATTGTAGGAAAGACCTTAATCTATCATCTCCATGATGTCTTCTAGTTAGCAGCAGAAGCTTTTCCTTCATTAGACAGTAGATATCTACATAGGAGAGAGTAATTTCTCATGCCCATAGCACAAAAAAAAAAAAAAGAAAAACAACCAGCTCCAAGCAGGTTTTTCAGCCTATTAGATGGGAAAAACGGAAATAAAAACAATGAAAAAAAACCCACATTGATGAACAAATTCAAAGTATACTGAGCATTTTCTGAACTATGCTGCTTTTCAGATAAATCTGACCGTTTGTCTGACAAAGGCAGGACCAGGTCTCCTCTTGCTGTAGTCAGGCATCATTCCTTTCATTGCAATAGGACAGCATACGTGAAACAAGTCTTGTGATGTCTACATTAGAGTAGACATACTAGAGAAATTACTGCTAGTCTTGGCATTTACTAAGGGTTACCAAACTTCATCTACTCCAAAAAAAGGTTTTGTTTCTTCATCTGCTGGGTATCACTGCCTAATGCTATCCATCCTGCGCAGCTATGTGCATTCAAAGTTATCTAAACATCCTCCAACACATCACTGGGCAACACAGCTGCCATCTGTTATTCTCTCTGTCTCTCAGCCCAGCAAGAGAACTGAGCCGACAGTATTTTCCTCTTGGAGAGTTATTTTTGTTGCACTTCTGGGTTTCTTGATGCACTGAAAATGCATGTTAGGCCAAGTCCTTCACAGCATGGCAACTGATTGATTGAGCGATGTGAGTAACTGCAATTTCTCAAAGCACCCTGGGATGTGTAGCACTCTGTGTGCATAAATCACTCTTAAGAGCGACTGGAATAAAATCTGTGACTGGCAGTGCAGGATTCTGAAATGTATCTGAAGTGCTTGGGAAGGCTTTGCAGTGACACAGCTTTTCGTGCACTGAAAGGTATGCACTGAAGCTCTATAAGCCTGGTCACCCATTCCCCTTGATAGCTTTAAAACAGACCAAGAAGAATGATACACTTCTTCTTTAATCTGTGCTGATGCTATAAGAACCACTTTCTGGAACTTTTTTTTACTGACATAAAAGTATCCCCTCAAACATTTATGTTCATTCTTTTTTCTGCTTCAGAGTATGGAATTCTCCTGGCGGCATATTTATTTTCTCTAATAACGCTGAATTTATGCTGAAAGCTGCCTGAAATAACCCAGTCTCTTAAAGAGATTAGATGTCAGAGGTGATGGGAAGTGTCTGAAGGAGAAACACTCCTTGGCTACCAAGGAGAGCTGAGTGGGTCAAAGAACCTTGGCTTTTGTTTCATTTTTTTTGTTTCATTTTAAATCTAGCCCAAATGAAGAATGGGCCATAAGTATCTGTCTGTGAGAAATGAAACAGCAATGCACGTTAGTTAATTATGGAGAGGTATCCATGGCCAAAAGCACAAGATGCTTTACAGTGATTTATGGTCTGTCTTCCAGGAGAGAAAAATGAGCCTGCTGTGAAGACACCATGCTCATGAACACATTTGTTTTTCCTGGTGTTCTGCTAGCTTGCTGCTGGCTTGCTAAGTGAGCCCATTGGCTCTGGCATGCCAGAGCACTTCCTAAGGAAGTGTTACTACAAGCTAAGATAGAGCAATGAAAATACCAACTCCCTTCAAAAGCACCACAGCCCAATCCATTGCTTGATTGTGCCCTATGACTGCAAAGCCCAAAAAGGAAAAGCACTACTATGGAACAGGACCCATTTCTATGTAACACTCATATCCATGCACAACAGGAGGACAACAACCTTATTTTTATCCCTTCTCCATTGGCAGAAGGCTCATATTACAGCAGGTAAAATTAGTGCATAGATACCAGAGCTGAAACAGCCAGTGAAATGTCAGCAAGGAAGGCCTAATAAGCTAATAGGGGACATAACCACCCAGACATCAGTGGGACATAGGTTGGACAAAACCAGCATCTTGCCAATAGACAAGGGCTGCCTCTGGACAGGGGACAAGCCAAGTGTCAGTACTAGCCCTGCACAGGCTGGCACTTACCAAGGGTTGCAGCCACATAGGGCTGAACACGGGGAGGCAAGGCAGGCAACAGGCTTCCTTGGTGGCATAGCAAAGGTCAAGCCAATATCAGGGTATCCAGAGCCAGGAGCAGACAGGTCAAGGCCACAGAATGGCCCTGGTGGGGCTGGAGACAGACTCAGCAGTAGCCCAGCTCAGTACCAAGGCAGCAGGCTCTAGGCTGGGCTGAAATATGTGCCTGGGCTCACAGCGCAGGTGGGGGTCCAGAGAAAGCCAACCAGAGTCATTAAGGCACATTGGTGCTTTTAGGAATCCCCCTCAATTCTTTTTTATTATTGCTAGTGACGGTAGTGGATAATTGGACCCCAGCACACATCTGAGTAATGGTCTGTGAAGCAGTAAGGCAGATACACATCTTTCTGGACTTACCACCCTCAGAAGGTAGAGGGGCTGCTTTAAGGGGACCCATCCTGCACTCAGCACAGCTCTTGCTTTTCTCTCTGCAGAAAAACGTCATTTCTTCCTGACATTTCAACCCCTGGAGAAGGAGACATGGACTGTAAAGGAAACATTGACTGTACACTGAATATACTTCACTGGCCACTTGGGAGGAGTAACTTTGCCAGTTCGCAGCATGTGGGATCAGCAGCCGGCTGCAATCCTGGCCAGTTCAGACTCATCCACAACCAGCCACAAGGTTTGGGTACTTTTTTTCTTTTTTTTTTTTTAAACTTTTGTTAGCCAACCTTTTAAGTGGTGCACTCTTTTGTTGGGCTACCTTCATTCAGGGCCTAAATTAGAGCCAGTAGACCATGTTGCTATCAGTGGACCAGACCCCAGCTGGGCTAAATTATACTTGATGTGACCTGCATCTCTCATTAGTCAGGACTAAGTGCCTCACATTAGGCATAGAGATTAACACAGTGCTCAGCTTGTGGGACAGATATTTTAAATGTTCTGATAGAAAGCATATGAAATAATGAACTCTAATTTTCTCATGCTATGGGTGACCCTTGAATAAAAGAAGATCTGCCCTTCATGAATAAATTCACTTTTACTTTGTGTGCAAGGGAGGTGAAATGTAAAGTTTTCCATTTTAGCAGATTTTTTCCCCCATAAAATAATCTCTTTTTTTCTGAATGTTGCTATTCCTCAGCTGCAATGAGAAAATCGATGCTGTGCGATCATTTTTCCTCTCTCAACGTACCCATCCAATACAACTTGCAGAGCTGTGCCCAGCAGCAGGAGAGTAACCCAACCAGGGCTGGAGCAACGCTGCCCTCTAGTGGGGAACTCAACACATGTGCATGCTGATGCCTGCAACTTCGCTGTTGCTGGGTCTTAGTAACATACCTAGGCTGGAATAACCTCCTTTTTAGTACTTTCCAAGTACACGTGTTTGTAAGGAAACTGAACACAGACATTACACAATCACCTTGAGCCATTGCATGCTCAGAAGGAGAGATGGAGTCATAGTATCACAGGATCATTAAGGTTGGAAAAGACCTCTAATATCATCCATCTAGTCAACCATCTTCCTACCATCAATATCGCCCACTAAACCATGTCCCTAAAGCACCATGTCTACATGTTTCTTGAACACCTCCAGGGACAGTTACTCCACCTCCCTGAGCAGCCTGTTCCAGTGTACCACTACTCTTTCTGAGAAGAAATGTTTCCTAATATATGAACCGAACCTTACCTGGCACAGCTTGAGGCCACTACCTCTCGTTATATCACTGTTACCTGGAAGAATAGGCTGACTCCCACCTCACCACCACCTCCTTTTGAGTCCTTGTAGAGAGCACTAAGATCTCCCCTGAGTCTCCTCCACAGTGTATAATCCCAGCTCCCTCATTTGCTCTTCATAAAACTTACGCTCCATAACCTTCACCAGCTTCATCTTCACCATGTAGAGATATTCACCCACTAATATAGCTCTAAGCTTCTTCTAATTTGCCTCCCTTACACATATACAGGAAAGGGATGGTGAAACTCTCCTTTCTTGCCCAGAAGGTTTCATTTGCTTGTTCCCAGAGTCTACAATCCTTCTTAGCTCCCATCACAAGCAGGACCAGATCTCTGCCTTCCTCCTTGCAAGGTTCCCACTCCTAGCTGGTAAGCCTTTGGTCTGCCTCTTCCAACAGCTCTTGCTATCTATTCACTTCTCAACATTTTAGCCCTTAAGTAGCATCCCAAGGCAAGGGAGGAGCACAGAGACCTTTCACAGTCTACTGCCCTGAGCACCTACAGTATTCTCCAAGTGGCCTAACTTCAGAGTTGCTCACATCACTTACTATCAGTTAAGCAGTCAAAATCAGATCTTGTTTCTCAATAGGGTGTTTCCCTTCCAAGCACCTCAGACCTGTCACAATTTCTAAACATCCACAAAGCATTCTGCTTTCTCTTAATTGCTCATTTCAAGAGATACCCACAGATTTTTGAACGTTTCCCTGCAATCCATTGGATGAGGTACACTGCATGCCAAGTCCAGGTGGAGATAAGATTTCAATCTCTTCTGCATAAACTCTCCCAACAAACCTCCAAGACTCTTGACTTAACCTCACATCTGCTTTCACAGCATAAGAAACCTGCCAGTCCCTGTGCAGTGAGGGCTTTTGCAGCACAAAGCTTCCACTTCCCTATGTCTGGTTCCTTTTACCTCTCCAGAAAGCCAGTCTGCCACTTTAATCACAGTTGAGCTGTCAGCCTGTAAATCCCCAACTCTGCACACCTGAAATGTGTTCACTGGTGAAACAGTGCCCAGGAATTTCCTGGCAATGGTTGATGTCAAAGGAAGAAGTTGCAGAGTTTGCAAATACCCTGAGGTGGCTGCTGCTGCAGTCAGTTTTTCCAGCGTCTGTCCCACATCCCTTCCCTGGCATCTGCCCCTAAAAGCCTAATGAAAATCTACAGCCCCTTTTACAAACACAGAGGGCCAGGTTATGCCCCTAATTTCCCCATTTTCCCACACAAAACACAAGTTCAGCCACATACCTTCAGACCTCCTTACACTCTCTGCTGTTTCTTTGCTTCTTTTCTCCCTCCATGCGCTCTCTGCATCCTCTTGTGGTGCTCTTCCCCCCACACACCACCTTATTTAGCAGGCTTCTCTGGAGAGGAGATAAACTTTGTCTCTCCAGTCTTCACTCGGTGCCACCTGTTGACCTCTTGGTCTCTGGGGAATGCCACCAGATCTTCTCCTTCAAAGCACTTTAGGAAAGGAAATATTTCCAGAAAGAAGTGGCCTCACTGATGCTGATCTCCATGGCGACCTCATGGCAAGGCCTTGGCTGCTATTGTCCAACTGGTGTTCAAGACATTGCAGTCCCACACTGGGGCCTGATGGACCTGATAACCAACACACAGCCGGGAGCATGTTGAGATCTCTCCTGTCATTGCCACTTGTGTGAAATGGATTTTCTCCACCCACAGCTGCAACTGCATGCGAGTGAAGGCCCCAGAGTGGCCCAGCCCCATCGCCCCATCAACATGCTCAGGTCTCTGCACCAGCAGGAGCTGCTTGCTTCTCTGCAATGATGCATGCCAATTTGTCAGCCAGAGGGTGTGAATGCAGGAAGAAAAACCTCTGATGCTAACAGATCCACGGTTGGACATGCAGGAAAAACCAAAATATCTCTTAATTACCTCTGTCATTGATCCTTTTCCTGGGCAGAGGGGAAGGGAACGAGCCTTTTGTCCAAATCTTTCCTTACAAACAGAGCTTGGCCACAGCATTTGCACACTTTGTTAAGGGTAAGTCTGGATTTTTGTGATGTTGGAGTTTTTTCTCAGGCTGGCCTTGTCTGAACATTTTGGGAGCAGTAAGATTGAAACAGTTGCCCTTAGAGTCAGAAGAGACTCATCTGTATGAAATGTGTGTATGAAAAACTTACTCCACGTCCTTTTGAAGGGCTCAGAATTTTGCTCAAAACCAACAAAAAAAAAACATGCAAGTGAGCCATTTTTAGGGCCTTCCATACAGGTGTGCTGGCAGCTGTTCAACCCATAAGGTGGGCACAGTTGGTATTAACTCCAACAAATGCAAAGCAGCCTGCTGCAAGCTGAAAAAGTGTTGTCCATGATGTGTGGAGCTGTGGTCAGCTTGCACAGTTGGCTGCAAGTCCTGCTCCAGGCCTGGCTACAGACATGGTGGGAAAACTCACAAGAAGATCCATGCAGTTGCATTTAGGCTGGGAATTATATCAGGAATTATTTGTTTTTCCTTATTTCCAAGCTGTTAACGGAAACAGTCACGCAGTCTGAGGCTTTTAAAGAGAAAAAAAAAAGAAAAAGAAGAAAAACACAGTTGTTTTGCTAATATGAGTAATGTTCCTCAGCATTTGTAATGAAATTAAGCTTCTGATTGCTTCTCCATCTAGAAAAGAGTAATTTCCACTCAAGAAGTGCAGAGAATAGCATTTCAATAGACAGCAATTCATCAGCACTGCTGGGACGCTTGCTTTTCTGCTCATTTCCAGAATCTCCTTCCAGTTTCCTTTTTCTACACACAACAGGCACACCTCCTTGTCCTCCAGCTGATGCACAGCAGAGGACATGCAGCGAGAACAGAACAGGTTCCGGATTGGGCAGCCCAGCCTCACTGGGGATTGCAAGAGCCTTGGGAACAAACTCGCCAGCACAGACTCTTGGCTTTCGTTGGAGGAATACTGAGATGTTATCCAAACAAAGGCCCTCTGCTTGGGCATTCAAATTTGAAAGCTTTTTGAAGGTTTTGAGCCAATTGATATAGCCAACACTAGCAAGCCTGTGGCACAGGCAAGACAGGGGTTTCTGATTTCCAGTGCCTCACATCTATTTTTAATTCCAAAATCAGATAAACAGTAAGAATCAAAAGCAAACTGACAGAGAACCTGTTGGAAAATAGCAGCTGTGTACTTCTGACTTTTTCCACAAGTAGCTAGGCTTTAAGGAACAATAACAAAACTGCAGTGCCAGAGACACACAAAAAATAAATCAGTGATTAACTGTTTTTACAGGCTTCTCATTTGGCTTTTTAGGAAAACTAAATTTTTGCATCCTGTTCCCAAGCAGTTCCTGGCCATCTGAAGGCAGGAGCTGTGTTTCTTATCAGATGTCTCTTCTGCCTTGATGCACCTATGCTAGTTTTTGACGAGCAGTAAAGCTATCAGCCTGCTTGCCCTTTTTAAGCTTATTTTGCATAATGGCAACTTCTGAGTTCCCAGTAAATTACAGTAAAGTTTAAGCAGGATTATTTGACCTTGAGGCTTGATATTTTTCCTCATTGCCCTCAGTAATAGGACTACCTTTGGGTGACCAAGAAGCAGCTTTTAGTAGTTTAAAGACAAATGTTTGCCTTGGAATTAAAAAAAAAATTGCATTTGTATTGTCCAGCTTGTGCAGGCATTTCAAGAAAACATATTCCTGGGCAATAAATTGGTCCCAAGCAATGGTAAAACAATGATAAAATCAATAAACAAAGATGTGCAAAATTTCCAGGGAAAATATGAATATTTGCTTAGGTTAGTCTACTACAGCATATATCCTGTGGGAAAAAAAAAATAGAATTTGATCATAGCTTTTAACATCTATCATGATGTGGATATATTAGGAAGCTGAATTTTCTTTAACGTTTCCTTTATTTGTTGTGATTTTAATGGTTTTTTTAATTTGTTGTGAGGAGGGGAGGAAGACAATGAATCTTTTGGTCTTTAGACATAGCGTAGACATACACAGTGTGCACTGTAGGTCAGAAAAACACACCAGGATGCAAAAATTTATTTTAAGCTATGTTGTATTTAGGACTTTACAGAGCACCCAGGAATGGTTGGTTGCCTTTTTTGTTGCAGAATCACAGTATCATTTAAGAAAGACTGGAACAGGGATATAACGAAACACCTTGAAACTGGACAGCAGCATGGAATTCATTGCAGATAAAAAAAATCCTAGCACTCAGAAATGTATTCTTACATCTTGGATGACAACCTGAAGTAGCCCAGAGCCAATGTTTTTATAGACTCTGTTATCTTTCAGACTTGACCTAAAAGCTTCATAAGAAGCAAAGTTATTTAGAATAATTTGATTTATAAGTGATGTCCATAAAGCACAACTTTGCCACAAGCAATTGCACAGTGACAAGCAGCACTGGCTATGCTGTCATTGGTAAATACTTTGCAAAAGGAGAGGACTTGTCATTTTAATACCAGCCTCCAAGTCAGTATATTGAAACTAAACCCTAAAGTTAAAAACAAAAAAACACGAGTTGTGGGAGTGAACAATTAATTACAGTAATTTTTTTTCCTGGAAATCAGAATAATAAGCACAGGCTCTTATCAAAATTTGAAATAAGTATTTTGGAACAGGTAAGCTTTCTGCTGGTAAGACTGTGTATATGGATACTGTAAAATTGAAATTTAAGATGTTTTATATCATTTATATCTCTGAATGATATGTTGGAAGTTACAGAAAAGAAAAACAAGAGAGGTATAGCAAGACTCCTTAGAAAGGATTCCTCATGAATTTTTAGGACTTTTAAACAAGCCTTTGGTATTCTCTCTTCAGAATGCTGTTTTCTCCCAGAGGGCTCAGACTCCAGGGAATCAGCACTTCCATCAAGGTCTGCAGGGTTCTTTCCATGGAAGACATTTGAAGAAAATGATCCTCAGCAGCACCAAGAAACATGCTGTCTTTGAACAAAGCTGCTTCTTGAGGCCAGACACAATTTGCTGACCTACTTTGGACAAGGATTTATTGACATCCTGGGCTGCAGCCTGCCTCATGTACCACTGCCAGGAGAGCTTGAAGCACAGCTGCTGACGGGACGGTGATTAATTTGATTGTCACCAGCACTGCTCTGAACATAAGGCTTTCTCAGGAGGCACATAAAAGGAAACTCAGTGCAGTCACTTGGATTTTGCTGCTAAGGGAGTGAGGGAAGCAGAAAAACAAATCCCAGCACAGTTTAACAAGGCCAGCCCTTCCAGCTCAGGGCTCTTTGCATTGGTCTTCTGTCACTGGGGTGAGGTACAAGCAGCCAGTGGAGGCTCACAAGTAATACACTGCACAGTTGGCCCTTCAGTGGGAGTGAAGCCATCATTCCTCATCCAGAGTGCAAAAAAGACAGTAGGATCACCAGAAGTAGTATGTCATGGAGATGTCCTTCTGCCTCACCAGTCTACCAACTGGTTATTTCAAACCACCTTGGATGTTTATACTGGTAGACACCACAAAGATGTGCTGTACAGCCACGTGACAAATGCAACATGATGAAAACTGTGAGTTTTTGAATTGTGATGAGCTATACTTTGTGCACATCAGTCACAGCCCGTGATCTAGGCAAAAACAGCATGTGTCAAAGGATCAGCCACTGTCAACTGGAAGTAATTTCCTTACAAGCTACAGAGGTCTGCAGGTGAAATTATTACAAGACTGCAACTACTTGGTGGCAACTGCAATGACAGTACAATGGAGACCTCTGTAATTTCTAACAAAGACATCTACAATACTTAATCACAGGACCTGGTTCCTTATTAACATGCACTTCTTGTCATCATTTGAAACCTCCCCAAAGAGACTGTACAATTTGCAAAATCATCTTCTCATTTAATTTCCTGGTAACCTTTATTCTCGTTTTGCACAGCACTGCTCCAACTGGAATATGATAGAAATACTTTCCCAGCATTTCCTGCACTCTAACTTTGTAGCACAAAACTGTGTGTCCAAAGGCACATCTGAAGGAGATACCATGATGGCGGTCAGATGAGGTTTCAAAATCCTGTAATGATTAAAGGAAGACTCATAAAACCAGGCCAGTCCAAATTTCTTGATGGTGGAGTCACACGTACAGAAAAAGCTCTTCCTACGGAACAACCAGACATCATCCATGCTTTGGCTAAAGTTGAGAAGAAAACAGCTGAGTGGCAAAGTATTTGGGATAAAATGTTCTCCAGCAGCACCTACTTACAATGCTCACAGAGAAGAGGTGTAAAGACAGCCTTTTAGCCAAACCAGTCTGTGGCAGGGCTCTAAGTTCAAGATGAAAATGGGGAACAGTGTCTTGGAAAACTACTACAAATTACAGATTTTTATAATAAATAAACATTTTTGCCATGGATTATTTCAGCCAACATGAAAACAAAAACAAAAAAAGAAAAAAACGAAGAAAAAAAACAGAAGGAATAAGACTATCTTTCAATAATTGTAATACTGAAAGGCATCACATGATTACACTACTCAAATCTAGCTTAATTCATAAAAAAGTGGGATTCATTTTAAGTGTGAAAATATGTATGTCTCTATGACAGAGTTAGTCCATAGTGTTTACCACTTTTCCTAAACCTTTGAGTGAGAATTGCCTGCAATTGTATGAGAGAGGCTCCTTGTTTACCTTACTGGTTCGGATAACAAATTGGCTTCCTCCTGAAATTCATATTAAAAAAAACTATAAGGCTGCTCTTTGTAAATTATTATCAAAAGATAAATCAAAAATCATTTTCCAATTAGAATTTTCATGATTCTTTTCACTGTAAATCTTGGGTTTCTCAGGGAGCAATTATTATGCAAGTAGCGATGTTCTGAACAAAGGCTTCAACAGTGCTGGATAAGTTCTACAACTATCATTCATTCTATGAAATGGAATTTTGAATTTATAGAAACCCCATCTCCTCTGGCTGGCACAGTTTCCTTACTACAAATTAATTTCCTGCCAAAAATGGTTTGCTTTTATCTGATGATCCAAAGCAGTTCCTTTGATAGAAAAGTAAAATAATTTAATCATTTATTTATTAAACTAACCCACAATTTGGAAGAGGAAAAAGAAGTAGGCAACTGGTTTCTTGCAAGTCTTCAAAGATGACGCACTTTGTTATAATAACCAGATACTTGGAGTTCGCTCAAGTTGTTACCATTTAAACATTAAGATCTAATTAAATCTTCTAATTTTATGGAAGATCTTTTGGCTGATTTCCCAAAAGCATGCAAGGCTCCTATGGAAAACCAGGTAATGGGAATCTGTCCAAGTTTTTCCCTTACAGTAATATGATTTGGGGAACACAAGCTTAGCTGGGGGAAAATATTCAAAGTTACAGTCAGTGTAACCATGTACAATAGCACAAATACATTAGACTCAAAATGAAAGGTGTGCATTACCTTCTTGATTTTACTTATTGATAAACATGGCACTATGATTGTGTTCTGTCAAGTAGTGTTCAGTAGTGACGCAACATGGACTTTCTCCAAAG